TGATGGATTTCCACGTACACACTGTATTGTAATTGTTACTGTGTGCACCTACATTTTTAGAAATACTTTAAGTGAGGAGTATAGTGAGAAGGGTTTTGTGAACAGGTATAATGTAAGATCTTGCCAAGACGTATTTGCTATATTTAATACTTTAAGGTTAATGTATAACTGATATTTTCCTCCAGATGGTCCCAGGTGCCAAGTCGAATGAGCTACATCACAAACTCCACCAATACGAGTTCAACAGAGAGACAGGCCCCTTGTGGTGCGTCAAGCTTCGCCCCGAACGTCACTCTTCACCAGATGGCGTCTTCAGGGAGGGCGTGTCAGGATATCCTCACATGTATACACTGTTTTTGGGTATCAATCATGCCAACACTGATGGCACTTCCAACTCCATGATTTGCGGCTTTCTCGTTCAGCTTCTCGACGACGTGCTGGCAGGGAAACACATCAACGACGAGGAACAGCTTGGGGATTTCATACCGGACGAAAAGACGAAATCCTTGATAAAGAAACAAGAAGCCGAATTAAAAGCTGATCCTGAACTGAAGAACAAATTGTTGAACGACTACCAGGCTCTTAAGGAAAGGCGCTCGTACATTAACTCGGTTTTCCAGGGAGTCGGAGAGAAGGAAGGAAGGTCAGTCATCTTGACACAGAACTTGGACGCAGAAACTACCACCGCCTTCATCAAGCGTTGCCGCGCAGAGGGCGTCACCGTCAACTCTGGTTACACAGCGATTGCCAGCCTTGCGATGGTGGATCTCCTGGTGGACGAGGGCTTTGAGAAGGACTCGTACAACATCCGCAGCGCCCACGTCCTCAACGCCCGTCGCTACTGGGAGGAGGGCACACCGAAGTACCTTGGCTGTCACCTCCTGCCGTTCATGATAGCGGCGGTGGAGACGCCTCGGGACGCTGGGAAAGGCATTTGGAAGTACGCGAAGTCCGTGCACGAGGAACTCCAGCGAAAAATCAGAAGCAAAACGCCTCTACAGGAAGAGGTAGTGAAACAGCTCGTGCCCAAGAACCCAGACTTCGATCCCTGGTTCGAGTTCGAGTTCTGCGTCACCAACATGGGCGACGTGACCAAGATGGTGACGGAGGGCGGCGACCACGTGCAGGTCGTCCACATCCTCAGAACAGCGGCTGTCCACGGCGTCCCTTCTCCGTCCATACACTTCATGCACACTTTCCGTGGCTGTCTCGCGAACGCCCTGGTCTACAACACCTCGTTCCTCACCTCACAAATGGCGGAAAAGTTTTCTGAAAGGATTCTGCATCATCTTCATGCATCACTATAAAGAAACGTAATATGCAAATTTTATATTTAATTTTAGGTTGACAGTAAAAGATATACGTAGATTTTGCTGACGGGTAAAGTTAATGAAATAATACATATATTCGTGTGTGTTTATCTATATCTATATATGTATCTGTCTATACATCTGTGTCTATCATACTTATCGCTCGTAAATAGATTCACTTCAATATCACACGTTCTTGTGATATTGAAGTGAAACGTGAGAAACTGCAGCATCTCTGTGGGAAAACCACGTTGCCCCTGGTTGTACAAGACACATTTAATGAATAATGTATTGTAATTGGTTTTACTCTTGTTATACGTATATTTGTTATTGTATTGCTTTTTATCATTTCATTCTAGTTTTTCTTTTACTCGAGAGCATAACCCGTCCCTCTGGATTAAGCAAGCATAATTTTAACCTATTCATTTTAGAGTTGAAAGATTTCTTAATTCACTTTTATCCCCCAAACTAGGAACGAATAAGTCCATTTTAAGAAAGATCAAGGGAGCTTAACAGGGGGGAAGATACCACCTTCTATAGTAATGACCTTTCTTGACCTCACAGCCGCGTAGACCCGGCATTGATGTTCAGAAATGGTCGTTATTCTAAGTCTTTGATTATTGTGTATTTTTCACAACCCTATTTCTGTTCACACACACATATACAAAGAAACACACACATATACAAACAAACACACATATACAAACAGTGAAGTCTTCAAAGCAAACTTTTAACATTTTCGATTTTTCAAAAATGTATTTCTTATTATACTTTAGGAAGTTCCTAGTAGTTGTAAACCGAATTAAATATTTCATGTTTAAGATTACCCAATATTCACACCCTCAGTTTAAAAGACAAAGTGATCAAGATAAGATCAAGATATGATATGCCTTGCTTAAAACAATAAATAAAATTCAAATTGTAATGATATGACGTATCCCTTAAGCTAAAATGCTAAAGGTATTTGTAGAATAAGCCCCTACTATAACAAGTATTACAAAGGTGATTCAGTTGTATCATTGTATGAAAAAAACGTGAAAAATAATTAAAATCACTGTTTCTGAAATAATGGGATATACTCCGATTTGTTCTCCTAGAAGTGGTCTGTAAATTTCACGCTAATTCAAGGATTAAACCACTTCCTTAGACCGAGGCTTTTGGCTAAAACAACAAAGGTTTCATTTGAGAAAGCGTATACTATTTGAACGCACTGCTTAGCTTCATAAATAGATCTCCGCATATGTATCATGGAATGTTCACGTAGCTTATCACATACTCTTTTATTGAATATATTCAAGATAGAACGAATAGGAAGTGTGGAGGGCTTGGGGACGAAAAGTGAATATTTGTCCCTAGTTTTGAATTAATGAATCGGATTGAAGGGAGGAGAGGGAGCGAGAAAGAGGGAGAGAGAGTGAGAGAGAGAGAGAGAGAGAGAGAGAGAGAGAGAGAGAGAGAGAGAGAGAGAGAGAGAGAGAGAGAGAGAGAGAGAGAGAGAGACTTTAATGTAGCACGCGATACTAGGAAAAATGCACAACAGCATCGCTGGGGTTTATGAATTATGTAATCTAACTATAACCTTGAGTGTATCTGTGTATGTATATGAGAGAGAGGGAGATAGAGAGAGAGAGACTGAAAGAGAAAGAGAGAGAGGTAGAGAAATAGAGAGCCATGAAAGACTATCCTGAAATTCCCCGAGTCTCAAGGTTAACCACTTAACACGAGCATTTATCACTGACTGACACACAAGCAAATCAAAGCAATAGTTTTTTTTGTTTTTTGTTTTTACATTTGTTGCGATTACATGTCCTATAGTTAAAAGTCAGCTGCGATTTTTTATAAATTACATATTTGTATTTCACACATACGCATCGCCTCACATTCTTCCAAGGTAATTAATATGGATTTCTTTTTTTCTTTTCTTTTTTTTTTGTATTTCTCTATTTAGAAATGAATATTGCATCGTGAATTATTCCGCATTCGAATTCATAAACAGAAACGTTGAATGGTATGTTTTTTCACCCTATGGCGTATGCAACTACTTCTATGTAGCGGCTTCTTATGTGTAACGGCTTGTCTTATGTAACGGCTTTTTATGCATAACGGTTTCTCGTGTAACGGTTATTATACGTAACGGCTTGTCTTTTGTAACGGCTTTTTATAAATGACGTAGAGGGGGCAAGAAGAAAGAGAGAGAGAGAGAGAGAGAGAGAGAGAGAGAGAGAGAGAGAGAGAGAGAGAGAGAGAGAGAGAGAGAGAGAGAGAGAGAGAGAGATGCATTGCATTCAGCTGCATATTCAAGGTCATCTCTAACGTCTCCAGATTTTGGTTACTTTTTGCTTGCTGTTGCTATTAAGTGTGCTTGCACTGTAATGTCTTGATCAGAATAAAAAAATCCGTAATTCTTAAATATGCTTCAGTATCTTGCTGTTCGTGATTTGTAGTTTAATTTATTGACTAAGGCATTTCCTGGCATTGCAACGTATAATGTTCAAATTTTACAGCACATACACGTACAAACACCCCCCCCCCCACACACACACACACACTCGCGTGCGCGCGCACGCACACTGTGTATTGCCCAGCCACAAAAAATACAAATAAACAGATAAAAAGAAAATTGCAGTCATACATCCTTCCCGCTTTCGTTCACTTCAGTCACCGTTCATTACATTTTGCTTTCATGAACGTATTTTCTTGAAAAAAAAGAACGAAACAGTAAAGAGAACAGAAAGACTTGCCCCTTGAAGCCGAAGGAGCCCGTCAGCTGCCGTTGAAGTAAGACGCAGGTTTTTTGCAGGTACTACTTAGGTTTCCCATATTGTCTTTGTTATATTTCCTGAGGACTTTCGTGTAGTCGTACCGAAATTTCCGGGTAAGTTTAGCGTAGTACTGAAATTTCCAGATAATTTTAGTGTAGGCTCTACGAAATTTCCAGATAATTATAGCGTAGTAGTGAAATGTCCTGATAATTTTAGCGTAGTAGTGAAATTTCCTGATAATCTGAGTGTAGTCGTTGCTAAAGATCCTGATAATCTTAACGTTTGTGTGTTAAAAACAATAAATCCAATAAAGTTGTTTCTGTAGTGCTAAGAAGTTTCAGTGATTTATGTTTGTGTGAAGGGTGAAAAATTAGGATCATTTCACTGCATTATATTTCTTTTTCTAAGACAGGAATATGATTAATCTGGTCTTTATCCTTTTGAATAGGATACCACACACACACACATTCGTAAATATAATGCAGATCCAACATAGTTCCCTTCCATCACTCATTACCAGGATGAAGGCGAAGGGAAAGTAGTTGTGGAAGAAAACTGAGAGGGAGAAATTCTACGAGACTTTCGCCATCAGTCACCACCTCACCGTCGCCAAGCGAGAACCTCTCTTTGAAGAGCAGGTCATCCGCGCATATATATATATATATATATATATATATATATATATATATATATATATATATATATATATATATAAATATATATATATATATAAATATATATATATATATATAAATATATATATATATATATATATATATATATATATATATATATATATATATATGGACTGCCGCGATAGCTCAGTGGTTAGAGCACTGGACTCCGACCCTCGCGGTCCCGAGTTCAATTCCCCGTCGCGGCGGTCGTAAAAATGCCTGCGCTCTGACTGCTCGCTTGAGCCCAAGAAAACGACATATCACCTTAAGAAGTCAAACGCAGGTGTCGTAGGGGAAATCACCGCCGTGGCCGAAACGCGGTTGATTAGGAAGGGCATCCAATCAGGCAAGGGTGACACTGCCATATAACCACTCAATACTAAATTGAGAAAGGCCTATGTCCTGCAGTGGAATGAATGGCTGTTAAAAAAAAAAAAAAAAAAAAAAAAAAAAATATATATATATATATAACAGCTTCCTCTCTAATTCGATTAAAAATTACCCTGGGTCATATATACGAAGGTGCGGACACTTTTTATGCCTTTATACACCCTGGCCTAATGCACAAGTGAGTCCTTTATACCGGCATATATATAAGATTACTATACATGCTTACTAATTTCTTGATTAACTGAATGGATCATTCGTTTGTCTTAACCTAGTCTGTGAACTTATTTCAGATTTGAATTATGATGTCATCTTTCTTTTATTTCTTTTGGAAGTAACCTCATACCCTTTTTTCTCTTCCTTCCCTCTCGTTCATTCTTTTCTTCCTCTCGTTCATTCATGTTCTCTCACATCGTCCATAGAATCTGTCCTTCTGCAGTTCATCCATGCTTTCTTCCCCTCGTGTTCATTAATTCTTTCATTTGCTGTTTACCATATTATTCCCTCTTTTTTATCTTTAGTTCATTCACGTTCTTTCTTTTTTCCACAGACTCAGTTACTCTCCTTTCTTCATGTGTAAGTGTAGCAGCCCAGTTAAGAAAGTAAAGATGAATAAAAATGTTTTAAAAGACTATGTGCCAAAGTCGCATACATAGACGGGTATTGGAACTCGGTTGTTTACTTCAACGGCAGCTGTGGTCGCCTAAACAGCACCAGGCCCTATTGTAGGGGTTTGGAGGTAAATTACATTCTTTGTACTAGTTATCCATCCAATTATTATGATTTTATGTTGTATAAGTTTGTTAGCATTCAATAATGTGCTTTAATTGTGTTAATTGTGTGAACTATTACGAATTTAATAGTATATGACCACGTGGCCACAGTTGTTACGTTGCAAATTATTTTGTTTTCAGTTTTACGTATGATTACGGATATGGAAGATGTAGAAACTGTATTCATCAGTTATGGAGAATAAAGGAAGCAACAACAACCATGGTTTTTCTCCAGAATCCATAGATGTATTCATGCAGTAAACCAACTCCAAAGTAAAAAGGGCGAGGCCGCAGCGACATCATGTGATACTGATATCTGTTCCTCTTTATCACACACCTCTAGTCACGCTCTTCCAAAGGCTTCTAGAGGGAAAAAAACACGGAGCTTATAATCGACACAATACATAGACAGCAAAACTACCGCTCTTTTATCGGCTGCACCTCATCCTCTTTAGCTGCATCACTGTCTTTCTCTTTAAAAAAAAGAAAAAAAACTCTGATGGAAAGACGATCGATTCCATAAACACAGCTATGGACAGTTGCCTATTGTGACGCCATATAAGCTTGCTGTATTTGTTTTGGCATTCAAAATTGGTGATTTGATCGAGCTGGCGTTACTGCGTTAAGATCAGGCCGTGCTTTTTCATTTTATCAAGACAAATTGATCCATATATAGATATATATTATACTACTACAGAACGAGTTTCAACTTTTCTCAAGATTTTATTTCGGTGCATCATGTCTATACAATATACTGTATGCGACCACATGGATGCTTACACCACGCCAAGCCGCCCAGCGAAGCGTACCCACGCCGCTTGCTACCTAGCCTCATTCCCACTCGTCTCCCGCCTCGGATACTCATACAGACGTCCTCGTAATCTTCGTCAGGATCTACGGGCGTCCGGCAGGAAGCGTCCTCTTCGACATCGTAGAGCGGCTGATACCTGCACTAATGAGCTCCTGGAGTTTGAGTGGGTCTGCGGCATCCAGGCAGGCCCGTCCACAGCATTAAGGACGGCGAACCTCTACTGGCGAGCTCCTGTTTCCGCTGGATCTCGGGTGTCCTGGCGAGCGGCGATCTTCGATGACGTTTCCACTCGTCTCCCGCCTCGGATACTTAAGGCCGCGTTTTGACCGGTCAAAACGCGGTTTTAGCCTCCGGGCTAGTACAGTGGTAACGTGTCGGCCTCTCATCCGAGGGGTCGGCGGTTCGCGCCCCGCCCAGGCGCGAGAAGTTGCAATTGTCGCCTGGAGGTTACTGCTGTGGCCGGGCACCACGGTGGGTAAGGACTAAGCTCACCCGAGTCAGCACCTGCTGACACACTGATAGCGAGTCGACATACGTCGGCACAGGCCGGGCTCCCCCATAGCCCGGGCGAGGTCCACAGCTTCGCATATCGGACTTATCCTTATCCTTACCGGTCAAAGCAGAGTTTGCCCTGCCGCGGTCAAGGTCACGTCTGACCGGGGCTGGGCTCGCTAGTGACCCCGGGCGACCCTTCAGCTGACCGCCCAATACCCAAGACTGTCATATTGTGTTTCAACTCCGTGTGCTTGCTAGCTCTATCAATAAAAGAGTTTTAAGCCA